ACACACACACACACGTTGATTCTACTTCTTATGTCTGATCTCTCTCTCGCTCTCTCTCCCTCTCTCTCTCTCTCTGCTTTCAGTTACTCTGTGACAGTGCAAGAGTCATACGCCCATCCGTTTGATCAGATTTACTACACCAGCTGTACCGACATCCTCAACTGGTTCAAGTGTACCAGACACAGGTGAGGACCACATCTCTGAGGCCTGATACACACCAGATTGTGTGTGTGATGGGCCATACCACTGTTTATGCATGCTTGTACTGCACAGTATACTTCACCTACCTGTCTCCATACCACAGTGTTTTTAACACCTCCAGGTTTAAAAGTTGCTGGAGTCAGGCAGGCACACTGATGGTCTTGTTTTTGTCAAACTTACTTTATGTAACTAAATGACCACACAATGGAGAGTTTCCTCTGTCCTGTTCATTATAACAGATTTTACTTTTGCTGCTTAGATGCTGCAGTGACATTACTGCATGCATGGAAATGTTAAAAATGACTGAAAGGAACCTCTCTGATCATTTAAGGAAATTGTTAAAGAACATCAATACAACATACAATAAAGAAATCTCCTAGAAAGTTTGCACTGCTCAACATAAATTAAAAGGAAATATAGCCTACAGGAACGTGTGGCAGTAGAGTGGAATGTCCTTGTGGGTACAGGATTTTAAATCTGAGAAAATAATTAGTTCAGGGGTGGGTGGCAGGTAGGGCTGTCCCCAACTCAGAGTTTTGTGAGTCGAACCAGATCTGGCTGATCAAAACAAAGGTTCAACAATTTTTTCCTTTTTCTTTGAGTTCTGTGCCACACTAAACTCTGAAATCAGCAGTTCCTGTGGTGGAAACACAGCTACACAGCTACATGACTATCATGTAGCTGTGTTTCCACCACAGGAACTGCTGATTTCAGAGTTTTAGCCAACCATTAGATTTTCACACAGTCAGAGAAAGTAAAAGTGTGAATCCTGCTCATAGTTCAGTTAGAAAATCCCACAGCCACAACCGAGCATCTCATCTGCCAGGCTGCTGACCCAATACAGCAGCTCAGCCGTAACTTCTACCATTACAAAGTTTTGATTGTCATTGTCAGAGATATATTAAAGCTGCAGTAGGTAACTTTTATATAAAAATCTTTCTTTGTCATATTTGCTAAAACTTTCACTATATATATTTGTAAGAATCCACCGGCCTTGACGAAAACAACTAATCAGAACTGAGAAAGATATAATGACGCTTTGGGTTAGAGGCTTGAAGATAGTTGATTATTGAGTGTCGTTCCCATGCTCAAGTGTCTCTATTTGACAACCTGGGAATGAGACTCAACAATCAACTATCTCTCATCTCTCTTGGCTCTGGGTTTTTTTTTTTTTGTATGTTTGGGCTGGTAAATTCTTGCAAATGCCATTAGGATCACTAGGAGGAGCCAGAGGAACCAGATTTTTTCACAAATTATCTGTCTCGTGAAAGTTTCAGCAAATATGATAAAAACCTTTTTTAATAGAAATTACCTACCGCAGCTTTAATTGAACTATATGTTTATTGTTGAGGTTGTAGTTTGTAGTGGTGTGCATTATAAGTCCAGTACGACACTACTACTAACTATGACGTCAATAATCAACATATAGTTAAATGAGCACCTGTCTGACAGTGTGACCTGTTTTCATCTGACAAGAGATACAGAAGTATCCTCTTCCATACCACCAGACTACAGAGCAGTTTCTTTACTCAGGCTGTAATTCATCCTCAGCACTCCACCATGAAAAATTGCTTTTTATTTTTATGACTTATTAATCACCATGTACTGTATATAATTCTTGCATATTTTTTGTTTTTATGGGTAGCATAAAGGGAACTACAACCTGCATTATACCTTGTGAACCTAAATGAACCTTGTGTGAATCAAAACAGATCATTATCTTTGTAATGGTAGAATTCGTGGTTGAGCTTTTGTATTAGATTGCATTAGATTGTAAAGCGGCTACTGACTGTATAAAACAATACAACATTTAGGCATATTTTTAGTCCTCAACTTTGCAAATACTTATTCATGCTGAACTTTTCAAGTTCATTTTCCAAACTGTGCACAATCTATTGTGGTTGTTGATGCTGTCAGTTGATATTATTGTGTGTCTGCTGCTTTTATAGCCATCTGAGACCCTGAAGAAAAAAGATTTTAATACTTAATTATTATTTTTTAAGTAATCAATCAATCAAACTTCATTTGTATCACACATTTCATACAGTTTAGTGCAGTTCAAAGTGCTTCACAGACGATTGAAAAGATGATAAATGACAGAATGGAGTAAAAATTGAAAAGTGTAGATTAAAAAAAGTGCAATAATAAAAACTACAATAAAATACAGGTATAACGATAGTATTTAATAAAAATTATAAATATAATGAAGAAAGCTGGCAGAAATAACAAATCAAAAGCAATAAGATGGACATTTTCAATAAATTACAAATGATGAAATTCACAAAAGAAAATACGATCAAATAAATGGGTAAAAAATGGTTAATAATGTCTAACAACTAACTAATGTGTTCTCTCTTTCTGGTCCCAGCTCTCTGGCTGCAGAGTTCTGAATCAGCTGTAGCCGATTTATAACTTTTTTGGGTAGACCAGATAGGAGTGCATTACAGTAATCTAGCCTTCTCGAGATGAAAGCATGCATTAGTTTCTCTGTGTCAGTCTGTGGTAGCATGGATAAAAAGGATCGTCCCTAAAATCGATCCTTGGGGAACCCCACAGGTTATTTTGGGGGTTTTAGAAAGATTATTATTATAGGTTGTGACGACAAACTCTTTCAGAAACAGTTCATGACAATCCAACATAATCACTGAGTCTATTTTGTTCCTTTTAGTGGACATTGGGTCAATCTTTTCCACAAAAAAGTACTGCAACCTCCCCCTTGCAGGTCTCCCAGAGGCCTGGTGGTCTGTTGTGGCAGCCAGATCAAAGAAATGCAGAATGGTGTGGACAGTGTACTTCTTCGTGCAACTTGACATTGGTTCACCCAGATCAAAATAATTTCTTCCTCTCTTAAGTGCTCTGAAAGACAGCAAGTCCGACTGTCCTCTACAAGGGAAATTAGTTAAAATGTATATTTTGAAAGGCTTAAAATTAACATCCCTTTTTGAAAACCTTAATATAATATAGTTAAGACTCTCATAAATAAAATACTATATCCATTTGAAGAATGGAAACAATATAGCTATAGCTCTTTAAATTTGATCACTTATCTCCCTTACTGCCACAAATGTTTCATGGAGAAGGTGTGTAGTGCAGAAACAAACATACAGCATAATTATGATTAATAATAACATAGACATAGTTTTGGCCCACAGGATCTTCATCGGGACAGAGTTACAAGATTAATGATAGCTAATTCCATATAAAGACACATTTTTATATACGGGATGATATTAGTGTTTCCTTTACTGAGTGATCCTGTATGTGGTCTCACGTCCTGTCTGTGTGCAGGGTGAGCTATCGGACAGCATACCGTAGAGGAGAGAAGACCATGTACCGGAGAAAGTCCCAGTGCTGCCCAGGCTTCTACGAGAACGGAGAGATCTGTGCTCGTGAGTATCTTTTTCTTTTATAAGGATTCACATGATTTTCATACTCATTGAACCATTCAGTAAGCCCTCATATCCTATAGACGGGGGCTTTGTCATCCTGGAAGAGACCTACCCCATCAGGATAAGTTGTGTGCTTGTAAACATTGTTATTATGTCATATTAGGTTGCTCAGGACATCCATTTTCAATGTTAAAAAGCTCTCTCTGTGTTACAAAGTGATTGGTTATATCTCCAGTTTGTTTCACTACAGAGGAATATGGAAGGAGAGCATTGTTTCAGGTAAGGGTGTATGTTTGTTAGCGGCCGTTCTTGCCATTGTTCAAGCTGCTACTTTGCATTTTGAAATCCCTAGATGATTGGTACGTAGGTGCTGAGATCGCTGACCGTCTGGTATTATGGGACTAAGTGGACGCAAACCATGCTAGCCACATGCAGCGCAACAGAGCCACCACATCCCCTCACTGTAGGACCTGCACCACTGTCTTGGTGCACTTGCCCACTTGTCCAGAATGTGGTGAAGGATGACTCATTTGACCGTATCTTACGGTACCTTTTCCGTGTGTGTAGACCTGTGCCCATATAGTTTTTGTACCACTGAACTCTCAAATGTGCATTCCTCTTTGTAATGAGGGATTTATGCACTGACTGCTGCCCTATTATAATATTATTTCTGTGTAATTGTCAGACGGACTGTTTTTGCAGACACAGTCTGATCCTGCATTGACATTCTGAGTCACCTGAGGAAGAGTTGCTCTCCTGTTTTTACCTACATATCGCATTAAATTTCGCACTGTGGTCGTCAGCACCAATCTGCACTGTCAACCACCGTTTCTGAAACTATTTACTCATGTCTTTCCCATAGCAATTGTCACTTTAGTTACTGTTCCTATTGAACCACTTGCCAAAAAACAGAAAATGGAACCAGTGACTTGATGATGATGTCAGATTTCATTCGTTATATTCAAACTTTCACACACACATATACAACAATCAGCCATAACAT